AAACTATGTTGGAAGTTAGTGCTCTGTCTGTCTGTATGTGCTTTCATTTTTTTTGTCTGTGCTTTACGTGCGTACAAGGAAGACTTGGGTGCACGTTAAAGAACCCCAGGTGGTTGAAATTTCCGGAGCCCTCCACTATGGCGTCTCTCATAATCATATGGTGGTTTTGGGACGTTAAACCCCACATATCAATCAATACGTGCGTACAAGGAAACTTTATGAAGCCGCGCTGCGTTCCGTCTGCGGCGGTTGATGTGAAACCACCTGCACGGCGTGCCACCCACGTCACTCTCATCAACTACATGTCGCTGCTTTCAAAGTTGGTTAATTATTCCTTTGGCTGGAAGGTGCGAAGAGCAGGCGAAGCGGCAGCGACCGGAGAGGAAATTGTCTTTTCTTTTTTGATCGCTTCAATACAACCATTCGCGTCTTTTTCGACGCAGTAACTGGCTGCCCAGTTGAATTTGACAGACAATAGCAAACTGGGCCTTAAACTCGACTAAGAAGAACATAAACTTTATTTGTCGAATCCAGACGATTACAGTCCGGCGTTTTTTAGTGGGCCTGGGGACCCACCGCGGATGCGGTTCCGAGACCTTGTCTCGAAGCGGCTTCCTCGGCACGCTGCACGGCCCAGAGTTGTGCTGTCAGGTTCGAGCTGACCAGTGCGGCCTTCCAACGCGAGCGGAGGCTGGCGGTGGAAGGGTGAGATGAATCGGCACAGTTCGAATTGTTTATTAGGCCCTGACACTCCCGCAGCATGTGACTAAGGGTGGCAACCTCGCCCCATGAAGTGCATCTGTTTGTAGTGTATATGTCTGGAGCAATCCTTTGTTAATTGCCTGTATAATCGATGGCCACCAAGCGAGTGGCTTGAGGGGTTCTCATTTCCAATCATGACTTCAACTGCGGTGCAACTGTAGTTTATCAGTAAGATATATTCATGATGACCGTCATCTGTGCGAAATGCAATTCAGAAGCAGCTTTTTGAACGAATATAAATTTCAAGCAGAAAGCGACGAAGATAACTCCCCCGAGATTCACGCACAGATATTTTGATTCAAGACGCAGTCACGAAGATTGCTTCGCCCAGAGAAATTCTAAAGGCGCGAGTGTGGTTTTTGAGTTAAACACGAAAATACGCTCAGTCACACACACACACAAAAAGCCGTAGATTGCATACTACGCGCAACCCACGTGTAATAGGCGAAGGAGCCCATGAACGTGTGCCGACGACTTCTCAGTTGAAATTGCGGCAACTCTCCGGATTTCAGATAAGCGGGCTGCCTCAAGGGGAGGGGAGGGGGGAGTCATGATATAGATTTTCACAGGGAGACTGCGGAGAAGGGTGTGTGTACAACAAACGGAAGCTTCACCAGGAGAGACTATAGCACAATATGCCTGGAGCTGAGAGTTGGGGTTTCTTCCAGCCCGCTCTAATGAAATGCTGCATGTACTCATCTTTCATCTTTTGAGTGTACTTTTAAACTTTCTCACACGCACACACGTATATATATATATATATATATATATATATATATATATATATATATATATATATATATATATATATATATATATATATATATTACAGGAGGGATGAGAAATAGAGGAGGTCACGTGTAACTAACGGTTGGCCGATGTTAGCTTCCATATGCTGCATACGTGCCAGCGCATTTATTGGTCTTTCTCTGATTGATTGATTGATTTGTGGGGTTTAACGTCCCAAAACCACCATATGATTATGAGAGACACCGTAGTGGAGGGCTCCGGAAATTTCGATCACCTGGGGTTCTTTAACGTGCACCCAAATCTGAGTACACGGGCCTACACCATTTCTGCTTCCATCGGAAATGCAGCCGCCACATTATTGGTCTTTCTCTGCCTTTCGCTTTTTTCCCCTCTTTTTCTCAATTTTCTACTCTCTTTTCCCGTTATTCCTGTGTAGGGTAGTAAATCATATTGGTGTCTGATTAACTCCCCTGCTTTTTCTTTTTTTGTATTCTTTTCTTCTTTCCTTCTTGCATAAAGAAGAGAACTTGCGACACTTTTTCCAGCTTGGTCAGAAAAATTACAAGGAGTTTTGTGAAATCGGCTAGAAATCGTTCTCTCTTCTTTCTGCAGATAATGCCATGTACTCAAATGTGCGCGCCATATACCCAAATTTACGGCCGTTGGCTCATTTGCGCATCTTGGGCGGTATTGTTACTGCAGCCATCGCGGGAGTTCACCACGTGCTTGGGCGCGCACTCGAGATCGTACTGAAAGCCACGCATTCAAAGAAGAAAAAAATGATCATGACCTACGCGAGGCATTACTTGTTTGCCGTCCCGTTCTAGTTAGTTTCCAGCACGTTCATCGGAACAAACGAAAGAAAGGAAACAATCACAACGTGCGATAAATCTGAACTCCGCTAGAACTTGACAGATTCAAAAAAATGCGGTGCTCGATTCGTCAAGCAGTAAACTCCTTTTTGTGAATTGTGCTATTCGATGGTTACTTAAGAAAGTATTGCAATGCATTGTCAATGTAGCATGAACATGAATTTAGGCTCGCTTTTCAATAACCAACCGCTGTCCTGGCAGCTAGAAGCAGCGCACGCTTCGAAAAAAAAAAAGCGTAAGAAGGCTGTGGTAAGAATAAAATTAGCGGCACACGTTTGCGCATATGGCGAAATGTATGAGCGTACATACATACATGAACTGAGAGGCTAACTTAGTGCCTCGTTGCTCCACTGGTGCATGTCTGAACATACGCGCTCTCGGCTTCTTGTGTTGTATCACATTGGCAACGTCATTGTTACTCGTTAGTATACGTGGTGCTTCTATTGTACATTTAGGTCTTTTCTAAAAGTTTCGAATCTTCTATAAGGCCTCTCAATTCTCATTTATTCATGCAGGCATGCACTGTAGCTATTATTGCTTGTTTTTGCCCCGGCTGCGGCGGCTGCCTTTCCGATGGAGGCGCAAATGTTGTAGGCCTGTGTGCTCAGATTTGGGTGCACGTTAAAGAACCCCAGGTGGTCGAAATTTCCGGAGCCCTCCACTACGGCCTTTCTCATAATCATACTTGGTTTTGTGACGTTAAACCCCACGTATCAATCTATCAATATTATTCCTTCTTTTTCCTTTTTGATCAAAAACAATTATGCTGCAGCGAAGCAAGGAATGCTCACTCAGTATTTCTTCCAATTCCTAGAAGAAAGGAAACACACACACACACACACACACACACACACACACACACACACACACACACACACACACACACACACACACACACACACACACACACACACACACACACACACCAACGCTTTTCCGAGGGAAAAACAACGTATTTTGTACCCGGATTATCTACGCGCATTATGTGTGTTACTGGTCCAGCAAAACAGCTGACCGTTATAGGAATAAGAAATTGTATTGATCGATTCTCAAACGCTCTTCAAACCACCATTTTCAGAGAATCTCTCAAAACAACGGTTTGACGGCTGTTGTTTACACATTCGCATGCAGTGCGTACTCCTCGGTGGTACAGAAGGCTGCTGCCTCGAAAGTTGCGCGTTCGAACCCGGTCGCGGCATGCTGCAGTGGCATTTCGATGAAGGGGAAATTCTGGAGGGCATTATACTGTGGTGCGCCAGTGCCCAGTTAAAAGCACCAGATGATCAAACTTTTCGAAGCCTTCCACTACGGCATGCCTCGTAATCACATCTTCATTCTGGTACGTTAAACTCCACGTAATTATTGTTACTATAGTTGCATGCATTACATGTTGAAGCGGTACTATAGCTGTGTCTCATAGTTTGAGTATTAGACACACGTGCTGAATGGTCTGCGAGATCACCATGGTGTTGGGTACCATGGTGACTAGAAATCGTCGGATATGTTTTTTTTTTCGCTACAATAGTTTTGTTGTCTTTGTATACAACTTTTGTACTTGATTTGCTGCAGAGCTGCTGCCCTAGAAGTAACGGTAGACAGTCTTGCTCCTCGATACACTGCTCACGGATTGAAACTGTAGACTTATTAGAGATTTAGAGTTTAGAGATTTCGTGCATTTGTTTTCACCGCGTTTAGTTTGCGTCCCATCGGTGGTGGTTGTGGTAAAACTATATTTGACCAAGGGATTCGGGCACGTACGTGTAACTCGCACACTTGCACCATGCAGGGGCAGCATCAATATTAGTGACCGCATTCGTAGCAACATGACGCCGTTATCTGAAGCAGCTGCGCACGTATAATACTTGGTCTAATGCCGTGTTTCATTTCGTGAGATAGCAAAATGACTTCTAAAAGATAGTTAAATTACATTACTAATGACTTCTCTGAAATATTTTAAACGTAATTATGATGCATTACGAAATAAAGCTGGTCGAAAATAATGTCAATGCTTTATTACTTTTGAAAAGTAATTAATCTGCTTTGTAATCACTTTAACAAAAGGGCGGATGCCATGCGATTTTCCTCTCGACCTGCCTCGTATACCGCATCCGAGGCTTGGCACTCAGATCTGTTTTATGTGGCACGAGGGAAGCGAAAGAATTGTATCTTAGTCAAATGTTATTGGGAAAGTAATCAGTAAATTTCTTGAAATCACTCACTGGAGGCCATTCATGACATTAGATTGCCAGGCCGCAAAAGTAATTCATCAAGCTTGTTACAGCATAAAGTAATATATACTTACGGCGATTTCACCACACCCAAGCTTGATGTAAGCAAGAGACATTGAACTTTCTCTGGTCATACGCTCCAGTTTGATTCCTAGTGGTTCTTCAATCCTAGGACGGATTCACGAAGCTCTACTTTCGTAAATGTCCTTTGCCATTGGACGGATGCCTTCGCAAACAACACGTCCTGCTCCCGGATTGGCTGAACTTTTCTGTTACGAACAACTCCAGCGTAAGAGGGTTTGTTGAATTCGAACCCTCAACTTTACCTGCAGGTGTTCTCGTGCTGCCATGCGGACTCAAGTTTTCAGATAGACACGAGAGGTTTAAAAAAAAAAGGAGAGGTACAGACTCGCAAGGAGCCTGCCATCTTTATTTGTTTGAACACTTGGCGTCCCAACAATTTCAGTTGCAGCAACCATGTACAATGATACGAAAGTACCGGTTTACGCAGTGCGTTTTTCGCTCCTCGTAAAACGCATTACGCGGATGCCTGATTCTGTTATACCACGACGTAGACAGTGCCTATCTTGCTGACTATACCCAACTATATAATATATACATAGATACTTTTGTTATTTACACAAATATATGGCATTGCTGCCCTTGCTTTGCGCAAGCTGATGTTTGCTTCCCTGAGCGAAGTTCTATAACATATATTCTAAGACAATATGTCCACAACGTCGACCTATGCGTACATCGATTAGACTCGGACTTAAGTTCTATTCTTAAGAGTGCGCGCTTGCAGACGAGTTCTAAGCTAGCTATACGATTGTACACCCAGTTCATATCTACTTACACATATCCTACGTTTAACTATACGCTGACTCCCTGGTTCGTCCTTCGTATTTTCAGAAAGCACGCAGCAGAACTGTCGAATGTGAACCTTCGGTTAAAAATAAACGATAAGTTAAATAAGCAACGGTGAAATTGCAACCGACAGCAGGTTGTGCACAGCCCCAGGCGATACATAAAACGCGCTGCCATGGTGCGAAAGCACAACGAAAACTGGATGTAACTACGTGTGTGTTCACTTGTCATCATCTCTCGCGCTTGCAAACGTAAGCTCGTTCGTCTCCTACATAGTTAGGGCTCGAGGGCGAGCCCATTTACAGTCGCTAATACGAAGTGTGCTCCCTAGAGCTTTGTTCATGACTGTATACATCAAACCGCTTCAGATTCAGGGCCTCCTATAGACGCATTCGTTGTCTACGAGCCAACGTTATCCATTCACTCAAGTTTCGCGTCACCGCTCATTCGATACAGAAGCACAGACGTCCCCAGTCGACGGTGCAGAGCTCTTGATCTAGCCAGAAATTTTCTTACATTCGTACTTTCAGCGGTTGAGAGAAGGGTGCGACCTGTCCATTGCACCATCAGTTTGGATTTCACCCCTCGTACTTCTGCCGCGTAGGAATGCTGTTTCTCAATCTCACCGGGGAACACTGTACACGGCCGCCCCCCGTCGCGGCATTGCACGTTCAGAGGACGACGCACGCGACTCGACGCCGTTATTTCCTACCCACACGCAGTCGACCACACACACGCACGCACCCACTCAAATGCGAGTCCAAACATAACGCACTCCCGACAAAACACAGTCCACAAGACTGCTGCTTCCTCGTCAAAGCTGCGCCGCGTTGCAGTTTGTCTTGGCACGCTTTCAGCCGGGGTAGAGTTCCGCTGTTGCTTGTGCACCGCGCTCGACTCGAGCCGTGCGAATGTCTGTATCGCGCCGTCGCCGCTTCTTCCGGCTGCTGTCCGCGCGGTCCTCTGCGCAGGCGGTCACGTCACTTCAGAGACACTGCACTGGCCGCGCCTGCAACGAAAGAGAAAGAAAAAAAAACAAGAAAACGTTGAGAACAGCGCGTAAACAGACTGCTATTTTGTGCTTTACAAACATCCTATTATCATCCTCGCTCCTTGTATCCGCGTCTTAAGTATACACAAACAGTTGTCTCTGTTGTTTGAGGGCGACATAGAACAAACTGAAGTCATGCTTACTGTGCGCACCAAACAACAATAAGCTCTTTCTCATCGTCTTCCTCAAGGCACTATAGCGTTCCCAACACTTCAGTGAGTTTTGATTTCTTATTAGCCCTCCTCTGCATGCACCACCGTTCTCCCCTTATGGTCTTACCTGCGGGCCACCACTGCGCGGGGAAACGACAACACAACTGCTATATACGCTCAGACGCGTTTCTTCAATGACTTGAGTAAACATTACGGCTTATCCTTAGAGCAGACTGATATTCAAAAGCCTTTCATTTCGCACAGTTTTTAATTATACGCATACTATTTCGTCGTGTTTCTCAGAGCGTACACTTGCCGAGTCCTAACGTGTTCTTTTCAAGTGGTTGTTCATAGCTTTACTCCTAAATGCTGAGCCAGTACAGAGTTATGATGATGGTGCTACGCGAGTTTCGCTTTCCCACATTCGCGTCATATAATGATGAAAAGTGGGAAATGGGGGGAGGAGGGTGGCGAAGGGTCCCAAGTAATGTCATCGCGGCTGGCTTCGCGTTTAAAGCCAGTCGCACGCAGTATATAACCGCCTCGCGACTGCGTTACGGGATGTCCCGGGGCCCACGGTGTATAAGCAAACGCGCGGATCTCGGGAGAATCAGCGATGCGGCAACCCTTTTTTCGCGCTCCGCAGCACCCGCGCAATCTTGCAGGCTGCTCGGGCGCTCGCTTTACGCCTCGCTCCCTGCCTCTCGCTGGTTTCTACGTGCACCTAATATTAGACCGGCCCGCACGGACTCCATCCTTCCGCAGCGCGCCGGTGACGAGAGAATGCGTTGACGGAGGCCGCGCCACGAGGACAACAAGACGTGCCTCACCTCCGCGGGGCAAGAACTCATCGGCTCGGCTTCGCAAGCTATACCGCGGGGGCAAACAAAGAAAAGCGTAGTAGCGATGCGGTTATAACTCGGTAAACCTCGAAGTTCCATTGCGCTTACAAAAGGAAAACAGTGCCACTAAGCGCCTCCGGGCGACTGTCTGCCTGAGTGCTGGGCGAGCTCATGCTGCCGATGAGCCATTTCTTGCGATGTCGCTGTACACCAGATGGACAGAACTTTCTCCGTTACGGCAGGCCTCATTACCCTGTCGTGGTTTAGGCACTTCTTCTTCTTCTTCTTATTATTATTAACGAGGTTATTCTGCTGCGAGAATTCTGAAGAGATAGACACATACTAACGAACAAAGAGAAACATCCGTGGAATCCACACGCAACTGTTCGCATAGAACAAAAGTTTGCAAATCAAAATTCGTCCAGAGCTGAACGAGATTTCATAAGTTGGTTTCCGCATAGCAAGTGGCCAAAGGTACATATTCTGGCGAGAAAGAAACGCACAATGTTCGCACACTTGGGACCCAAAGGTGCACTTTCAAGGCGCGAAGTGTTCCCAGTTGTCCGTAAAGATGTTTTTTTTGTTTGTTTTTTTTTCAGGTGAAAAGCGGCGCCGCTCGCTAACGGTACTATTTCTGTTTGTCGTCCGACGATATTTCGTATTGGGCGATATCTACAATAGCTGCAACAACAAAAAGGAAGGGCGAAGGAAACTAACAACGAAGAAAACAGAAAATCCGGGCCTGTCTGCTCCATACGAACTGGCCAACGACGAGTGGTCTGCGGTTACTGCTGTAGTCATTCGATTTAACTCTGTGGCACGCATAGAGTTTCTCAAAATTAACTAGAGGGCACTCTGGCGCTGCGATCGTTCAGCGACCATGGGAATGATGGGTAGTACACACATTTGCCTAGTCTTCGTACTTGCGGGCGGCGAATCGTACTTGCGGCTTCGTTTATTACTGGTTACGGTTTTGTTTTGAAAGAAAGAACGAACCCTTTTGAACTTAGGGACTTGATTCAAAATAGTAAGCTTAAATGATAAGGTTGTGAAGCGCAAACGGTGAACATTTGCTAATTTATGTTTTCGTGAAAAAAAAAAAAAACACAGCTCCAAGCCACACGAACACACACGGAGCCAGAAGCAGGCCAGAAGTACGAAAATTTGACAAATGTGTGTACTACCCATCATTGCCATGCTCGTTGAAGCGCAGTGTGTTGCAACTCCCATAGACACTAGCGCCAGAGTTCCCTCTAGTAAGTATTGTGGGAAACTCTATGGTGGCACGCTCGCGTCAGACTACCACGCCGGTGAGCGGCACACGAACTCCTCCAAGGACGTCGGTTGCGGTGCGTCATATCTCGCGTCGCGTAATCGCCTGCCGACCCTATTTAGTCGGACCCCATCAGTTACCCCGGATGCCGCGGGAATTTCATCGCCCCAGCGTGACTCGGTCGTCACGTGACAGCGGTGTGCGAGCCTGGACACCTCCACGCCGGGCCGCCGTCTCTCGATTCCCGGAACAGCAACCCGTGGCCGCCCTTTTCTCCGGCGAAGTCTCGCCCCCTTTCCGTGCGTGCAGCCGCGGTCACCTAGCTCCGTAGATGGAAAGTCAAAACCTGCCTTGAACGCCGCCACGTCAGCCGGAGGTGCCGACGCAAATTGCCTCGCCCCGACTGTTCTCTGCCTCGCGGGCGAAGCGAAGGCATCCCTTCTCCGAGTTCTTTTAACGTCTTTCCCCCCCACTTACACCGACTCGTCTTCTGCCGGCTTTCATTATCCACGCGTATATATATACGGTGCCGGGCTGAGCGTACGGTTCATTCTCCACTTCTCTTATTTAATCTTTATCGTGGCACAATTCTCGCGCCTGCCACTCCTGGCTAGATTTTTTTTCTCTCCGTTATTACTTTCCTCCCGCTTTTTTTTATACTCGCAATATACACAAGTGAGCGCGTTTTTAATATTTTTATCTTACAATTTCTCGCCCCTTTTCTCGGGACCCCGAGAGGATGCGAGAAAGGAAAGCAAAGAACCGTCGACTCAAAGGGAAGCAAAGACGTAATCAGGGCTCGGCTTGCAGATCCCCCTCTTCCATTCCGCGTCAGCGGCTTGAGAACTCAGAGGGAGTGAGAATCTCGTACACTGCTTCACTCCCCCCTCCCGTGCCTCACTTCCTTACACACACACACACACATACTCCACCTTCTGCTTTGAAGGAAAAAGAAAAAAACCCTCGAAGAGAGCGGTATAGCGTTGGAAGAAAATGGCCCGAAGCCGGTTTTGGAACATTTCGAGGGAAAACTAAGTAAAAATGCAGGAACGGAGAGACCGAAAACGAGGTCTTTTCCCGCCGCGGTCTCCGCACGTTCGTCCGCTGCTGCGCCACTTCATTCGCCCAAAATCTCGCGGCTTGTCCCCGGCGATGATCTCGAGGCCTTCTCTACGGCCTTTTTCGGGTCTTCTCACTCTCTTTTTCTCTGAACCGGGGCTCGTCTCGACTTTGCCCTCGGGGCCGTGCTCAAAACTCGAGCACAGGTCGTCTCACGCACAGCCGGCTCTCCAAATATACGGCCAAGAGAGGAAAAGGGGGGGGGGGGTGGAGGAAGCGAATCACCAAGCCCCTGGCTCGCTGCTTACTTTGCAAGGAGCGGGCGCACGCGCACCCTTTGCAGTTTTACGCAACAGCTGCGGTCGGAAACGAAAGAAGTTCGCTTCTCGGCGGCGGCGGCAGCAACAGCGCACACCGAACGAAAAATCAAAAGTTTATTCCCACATGGTCGCGATGCCCTTGCCGTCCCGAGAAAAAAAAAACGAACAGCAAAAGCGACAACCGAATGAAAGTTTCATCAGAAGTCTACAAAAAGAGCGCCCCCGCGCGTAATGGAAAACAGCGGCAGCGCGGGAGAAAAGGATTTGGGGAAGGCCGTGACACTGGTAGGTAAGGGAGACGGCCGTTTGTTAGACACCTCTTTCTATCTCTTTGCGTGCGTAGCAGAAAAGGAACCTCTCTTTATACGTCTCAAGGGAAAACGTAAGTGGGTGGGATGGGGCGTGGGAAGTCAATCCGATTGAACGAATCTCCCTACGAGCCGTGGAAGGCATCCCTGGGCCTTCTTCAACCCAGGCTCCCCTATTTTGCACCCGTCGATCGTGCTCTCCGTGCTGTGAATTGGAAGGACACCCAACTCGACGAATGCAGGCCGCAGGTCCGCGTCGTTTCGCCCCGTCCGTGTGGACTACGCGTGCCACAGAACACCCCCCCCCCCCCGCCCCCCTTTTTTTTTTGTCAATAAAGTGAATCTGATGCGAGTCAGATGTCGCGAGTGCTCCTCCTCCCCCCCCCCCCCGCTTTCTCACTTATTGTCAAGGCGTTGCCATTCGCGGACTGAGTGGGCCAAATGTCAAATTTTCTTTGTCCTCTCGCGTTTGTCTCTTCTTGTACGCCTCGTGGAATGCAGCTGGTAGACTTCTTTCGCTCACGCGTAACCAAATTTTATTTACATTTGGGGCAAGCGAAGCGTAGTTTTCTAGATTTGTGTGCCTCGCTGTCTTTTTCTTTTGTCTTTTTTTGATACGGAAGAATGAACAAGAAATAGCAAGATACTAGAGCTATGGTGTAGGTACAGCTGCATTCGAAACCCGGTGCGAATCGACCAAATAGAAGGCTGTCTTTCACAAAAAAAAAAGAAAAAGAATTAAAGTCTTCCCCCCTTACCTCCACCCCTTCTGCCGGTACGCCTTTTTCCTATTCAGACTTTGCAGAACGCGCCATGTCATGATTTCTCTCTTCTCAAGACGGAAGTAAGAAATATGCGCTCCTCCATTTTTTTCTTGCAGTTTGCAACTGCCTCCTTTTTGTTTTATAACTCTTCTTTAAAATTCTGTCCTGCATCATTGTGCCGGAAATGGAAGAACCGTGTTCCTTGCCACACTCGTTCAGCCGAGGCGCTTCAAAACGTTG